ATTCAAATAAAATAAAAATAAATCAAAAAATCTAAAATAAAAATTAGAAACTTTTACAAAATATAAAATATGTTGTTCAAAATATAAAACAAAACACATCAAAATGAATAATATTTTTTTGTTTCTATATCATTTATTTAAATGGATTTCCTCTTCCATTCCCCATAGTTCTACTTCTACAGTTGGATCGGTCACATTTTGGACACTTGGAGGATTAGAGCAGGGAATTGTTGACGCAGATGAAGATTCATCGTGATAGTAGTTTCCGTTAGCCGCAGAAGTCACAGTCTGAATACTAGACGTCGAAGCTGCAGCAGATCCATCGATATAGTTGTAGTTTGTAGGAACTTCGAATGTTTGTGGCGGAAAATCATACTTTCCCAACTCGCCGTCGTATAAAAGATTATTAATTAAATGTTGAATTGTACATTGTGCATAATGCGTACGAAGACCGCGTACTTTGCGTGCCACTACATCACCAAACGCGTCAAAATCATCAATTTGGCTGCGTTCTGTGCGACTTTCATTTATGGATTTCATCATTTCAAAAACCTCTTGAGTTCTATCTTCATTTTCATGAAATTTTGATGATCCAGGCGTCCGTTTTTTTTGCGATACTTTCAAATTTTTAGGGGTTGTCATTTGAGATAATTCTACAGAGTTCGAAACATTACTTTCGGCACTTTGTACATCGTTTATAGTATTTTCATTTATTTTATGTTCCTTAAAAACATGCTCATCAACTGCTACAGATTTTGTGCTACAAATTTCAATGTTATCCTCACATTCGTCGTCACTTGAACTGTCACTTATCTACATTAAAAATATTAAATTTAATTTCTATTTGAGATTCATGATATTGTAATTTGTAAATATATTTATGCAATAGCATAAAACCACGAACTCGCTCTTCTGTATACAGTAGATACGTGTCGAGTGGAACTCGGTCATATGGTATCTATAGGTCACTATAATGTATGTGCTGTGTTGGAAAGTACTTGCATTACTAGTAAAAGTATTTGAGTAAAAGTATTCAAATACAGAAGGTATTTGAGGTACCTATTTAAGTATGTGGATTTAAAATCAAATACTAATTTTAAATAAATTTTCTTTTTACTTCGTAATTTTAGATTCTGAACGGAGTTATAAAAAGAGTCAGGAAAAACCCAAAAAAGTAATGAAAACCAAATCGATTTTTTTTTATTTTTTTTTTTATAATCGTTTGAAATTATAAATTATTTACAATACCCAATAGGTATTTATAAAACTCGTACAATTTACAGTATTTACAACATAAACTTAATTACTAGTAATGTAAATGTAATATAATTAATATAATATCCTAGGCTGATAAATCATCTCCGTTCAGAATCGTTTTTGAAATCGAATTAAGTGAAAAAAATAAAAATAAAAGTGACTTACTCTGCAATGACGACACCTACTATACAGTGGATAGCGAGTTCACGGTTTTTGTGGGTTTCTGTACTTATAGTCATGGTATTATTTTAAACTTTCAGATACCATCAAATGAAGACGAGTGGAAAAAAGTTGCTTGTGACTATGATAAAATATGGAATTTTCCCCATTGCGTGGGTGCAATGGATGGGAAACATGTTGTAATTGAATCACCAATTAATAGTGGCAGCGAATTTTATAATTACAAAGGAACATTTAGTATTGTTCTATTCGGTGTAGTTGATGCGAATTATAATTTTATTTACGCTAGTATTGGGTGTCAGGGTCGTATATCGGATGGTGGCGTATTTAAAAGTAGTAGCTTTCAAAAACTTATGGCAAATTGTTCGTTAAATCTACCAGAGAAGAGTGTACTACCAGGTCGAAATACATTAAGCCCTTATGTTTTCGTAGCTGATGATGCTTTCCCGCTTTCTCCATGTGTATTGAAGCCTTATAGTGGACATCAGGATAAGGGTTCTACAAATCGAATATTTAACTACCGCCTTAGTCGCGCCAGAAGAGTCGTGGAAAATGTATTTGGCATAATGGCTTCAATTTTTCGAGTGTTTCGCAAACCTATGTTGTTGCAACCAGAAAAAGTAGAAAAAGTAGTATTAGCTTGTGTTCACCTACACAATTATTTACGTAGAAGCTCATCATCAAAAAATACATATACTCCACCAGGATCATTTGATGCAGAACAATTAGATACTGGCACAATAGAAAGAGGAACCTGGAGAAAAGATCAACAAAGTTCTCGATCATTTTTATCAATTTCTCAAGTAGCTCGAAAATCATCAATTGAAGCTGCAGAAGTTAGAGATGAGTTCAGTGAATATTTCATTTCAGAACAAGGTCAAGTACCATGGCAATTAAACTATTCTTAACTAAAATATATTAATAATACTAAACTGCGCATTGTATAATACATAATATAAATGTAGGTATATTTTAATATTTATGGTTTTTATGTTAGTGAACGTATTATTTATTATTACTATTCTTATTTATTTATTTTATATTTTTTTTCTACTTCAAAATAATTATATATATTTGTTTCATATTTAGGTAAGTATATTTTATTAGGTGCAGATACTTAACTTTTAATTGGAAATGAAAAATATTATTAAGAAATAATAATATAATAATATATAAATATATATTAAGAAATATTATTTTTACCTGTCTTCTTTCAGTTAAACCAGCTTCACGAGATTTCCTTGCTTTATTCTTGTCTTGGAGAAAACTCATTAACTCGTACCCGAACCATTTGGCACGAAATTCTCTTCCCGCACCAGATTTTTTCATTGCCTTATATGCACGTCTCTCCCTGGAGTATTGTGAATACACATTTTTTAATTTCCTATCAATTTCATTTGCGTCTGTATTTAACTGGATAGCAATTTCTTTTAGGGCATCTGCTTTCTTAAATTTATTTTTGTAGTTAGGGCTTGATGCATCCCACAATATGGTTGACTCCCGGTATAGCTCTATAAGCTTACATGTGTCTTCTATATTCCATTTTTTTTTCGTATTCATTGTATTTGAGTTAAATGAAAATGATAAAATATATTGAACTGGACTGAACAGCACTGCTGAATAACAAACCAAATGGTACTAAACGGTAAACAACGAATGCGAAAAGCGAAATACGTATGTATGTAATTACGAAAATAAATTTATAAACTTTATTGCAGCCTGTTTTGAAAACATGTCCACACAGGTTCGACAGTGTTCGTGAAAACAACAACAATACCAAAACCTTTTGATGTTTACCGACAACGCTCGGGACATGACTTTGTTTTTAAAAACACGAACAATTTGTTGGAAAAAACACAATTGTTTTCAAAATGTTTTGATTTTGTCGAAAAACATAGAGTTTCTGTTTTGTTTCAATTTTGTCGTCTCTGTGTGGACCCGGCATTATTATACGTACTTTTCTATAAATGTACGTTCTTTTTCATTTTTTTGCGGGCATTGTCTGTTTTCAATTTTTTTACTTTTTTTTTGTATGAATATCAATGAAGTTTTATCTGTTGGGTCAAAAAGTGTAAAATTTTAATACAATTCTCCTGATATATATTGTTACAAAATAAGTTGAAAAATATTAAAAATACACAAGCACAGTTTATTTTTATAGTCATTTTAAGTTCATTTTTGGACGAAATTACATATTAAAAAACCTAGCATTTAGTTATTTTGTTGTGATTGTATAATATTATTTGTGGGTACCTACTTGAAACTTCTAAAGTGTACTATTATGTATCTATGATAGTATCACATTTTTTTGTTGATGTATAACGCATTATAAGTACTTATTGGATATTGTGATATGATTAATATTTAATTTATTATAGGTACCTATTATAGGTCAATATTTTTTAAAATACCATAGATATGTATATATATATGTCTTAAACCTAGACTGACATGCATATCATTGAATTCAAATTTAATACCATCGATTATACAGTGACCCACTTGTAACCTACTGTACAGCAGAGCACCTTTTTTGGCTTGTATTAATTTTTAAATAGTTAAACTATGCTTAAAAATTGTTTTGTTTTTGTATTCCTAGTTTACTTCAAGACTCTAGAGATTCACAAAATTTAAAGTATAATGAGTTACAAGATTGGATGGACTCTAAAAATCACCTCAGAAAGTACATACTCTCATCTCTTATGGTTTAATTGATGAAAATTCAACAAACATGTCAAGGTAATGTTACACTAAAATAATAATTTATTTTAATTAAACATAGTTCCAATTTAAGCTAAAATAATTCAACCAGTGCCTAACTATAATTGTTGCTATAAAATCATGTATTTTGTGTTTTTTGTTATGTTTTTATGAGTAGTATACTTCAATATGATAATGACAATATGAGATACACAAAATAAAAACATTTCTTAATATTAGTATCAGATAAATATATAATTAATGAAAGCCTGCATGTATTAATAATAAATTAATAACGGAGTAGGAACTAGAAATACCTTAATGTTTTATGTTTATACATTAAATATACTAAATATATAATACTAATTTTCACTGAACAATTTATTTTTGTATATTATGTTATAATATTGTACTATGTTTTACTATTTTATTAATATTTATATTAACCTTATGGAAATAGACTAAAAGTGTATTGCATAAATGCAAACATGTTGCACAGAGTGCATGCTATACCTAAGAATACCCAAATTACATTTAAAAATCTATGTATTTTAGTAATTATAAAATAAGAAAAATGTCAGCAGTTATGAATTTTCTTGCTAGTGAGTAATATTTATTACAATTAAATAATAACTATTGTGTACATTTATGGTATTTTTGTTTACAGCTCAAAATATTGTTGATTCTGATGCTGTTGATACTGCAACACTTCTATTATTTGTTGATAAGTTGTTTGATTCAATGAACGGTTCTTTTGATAAAGTAGTTGACGGCAAAATTTATAGAACTGCAGTTAAGACAAATTCTGTTCACCATCAACTATGGGAAAAAATTCTAGCAATTTGAAGTTTGTGGGAAAAAATATGAAAACTGTTAGTGTTCCAACATTAAGAAACTGGATGACCACTATTAGAGGTAATTAATATAGTACAGTTAGTCAGCAACCTACTAATAATAATTTTTTAAAGGTTTCCAATATCTATCAAAAGTGCTAAATGCAAAAGGATTGAAGTCATTGTTGCCCAGAAACTTGAATCAAGATCCGCTGGAAGATTTTTTTGGAGCTGTCAGAAGTCTTGGTTGTACTAATCCCACTTGTGCATCATTCATTCAATCCTATAAAACTTTAATGCTCAACAATTTGGTATCACCTCATTCACCTGGAGCTAACTATGAGGAAGATCTTACTGAGGGTACTTTGACAAATTATAAAAATTTATTTTGTTCTAAACATGACATAAATTATACCTAACAAACTTTAACGGCTGATTTACCCAGACCTTCTCTACCAATTCTCAGTGATAATACCGAATATTAATTAAGGCAATTGACACATACCTATATATCGGGCTTCATAATAAAAAAATTAAATCGTGATGTCTTAAAAGGTTGTAATAAATGTGTACTGATCAATTATCAACAGAACATCAGCTGATATCAGTTAGAGAATACCGGCCTACTAAACTTAGTTTAAAATATCCTTCTACTTCATTTCGGTGCTTAATTAATAATATTATTACTTACAAAATTTTTACAAATTCTTAACTCAAAATAATTTGCTAATTTGCTAATTTTCGTGATTTTTCCATGCGATAACCTTCGACAAGAATGATGAAACAGAGTCGGTGGTACCAGGGTCGCATGGGCTAACCGCTTCGGCATTGCGTCGTCGGCTCTCGGCATGCAGTTTTGTCGGCGGCGGCGGCCGCCGCAGCCTGTAGGCTACGACTATGTTTCATCGGACATCGCAATCACAGTATACGTTCCTGTTACATATATTTCAATGTTTCGCGTTGCTGCAACGTTTCCAGAATGTTGTTAACCCAATCTTTATTAATATTTTATATTATACTCATAAAGTCATAATAATAATTACAGGGGGACGGGTTCGATTCCTTGGTCATGGGTGGCATTTTTTTTTTCTATAAATATCAATTACGTTTTATCTGTTGGGCCAAAAAGTGTAAAAATTAAATACAAGACTCCTGATATATTGTTACAATATTAGTTCAAAAACATTGAAAATACATAGGCACAATTTTTTTTTATAAACAGTTGGAATTTTGACAAAATGTATCAAAATCTCGAAAATTATCAATCATTGTAATTAATAAATTATAAAATGTTCAGTTTTTATAGCTAAGGATTGCAAATTTAAAACAAAGGTTCTCATAAATAGTTCATACTGTAACCAAAAAATCTAAAAAATATATGAACACAGTTATTTTTTACAGACATTTTAAATTCAAATTTGGACGAAATTACATATTAAAAAGCCTAGAATAACTATTTTAGATATTTTATCCAAATTTGAATTTAAAATATCTGTAAAAAAAAATTGTGACTAAGGATTTTTAATATTTTTCATCTGCCTTTAAAACAATATACTAGGAGCCTTCTATTAAATTTTCAAGCTTTCGCAACCAACAAATAAAATTTTATTGATATTTTTAGAAAAAAAACTAAAAAAAAATGGAAAATTAAAATGTCCCTAAACAGTTCAAAATAAATCAAAATATTTTGAAAACGTTATCGTGTATATAAAATGCAAATATAAACAACCAGTGAAAATTTCATGTATATACGTTCATTTCTTTTAGAGTTACAACAAAAACCAAAATCAATTTTTTGGAAAACCGATTTTGCGTAAAAATTTCCGTTTTTCCTTAATTTTTATGTTGTTTTTCCCGGCGCTTGTGAAAACTACTGAGAAACTTAAACTTTTGACCCGACAAAGTACCAACTAGCTTCACTTTCCTATCAGAAAAGCTACTGATGAAGAAAATCCAAGCACTTTTACTGTCCCAAAACGTGATGACAGACACAAAAAAAAATAAAAAAATAAAAAAATAAAAAACCAATACATTCATCGCTCCGCTCAGAATCTAAAAATTACCGGTAAATACAATCAGGTATAAATTGTAATATTAAAAAAAATATGTAAAAGAAACTCCAATACACCGATACTAGTAGTTATAGTGGTAAATTGGGTTAAACTATATTTTGTATGTTATTATTAATGTTTCTTAAATAATATTGAAAATATGTGATATATTATTTTATTTAATATTTTTACATTTAATTAAGCTTGAATTATTATATTTATAATTTATTATATTACAATACTGTGTACTTAATGATTTGTTATTAATTCATTAATATGCTTAAATTATATTATTCATTAATTACTTATATTGTGTGAATACTTATTTTATAATTTTTATATTTTACAATAAATGTTAAAATGTATTTGAATAGTTTTGTTTTTAATTATTTGTTGTGCTCAATAGGCTTTATCGCTATGACATAAATTTAAATTTCATATAATTTTAAAGAAATGAGGTACCTTGAAATAAATAGTATGAGAACCCCTGGATATTGGATAGTTACATATCCATCCACCGGGAGCGCCGTGGCCCATGTCATTTTTTTTAACGTGGAAGTTGCCTATCTATTATATTATTCTTATCTATGATTAGAACCCTAGAACGCCGGTAAAAGCTCACCTGAATATATCATTATTTAATTGTAATTTCAACTATGGATTTTTCCCTCCTAAAAATGATTTATGTGCTACATGTGAGGAATTTAAAGTATCAAGTAATGAACAAGTATGAAGAACACATGCTTAAAAAGATACTACGAGAATGGAAAGAGATGAAGACAAAAATAGATGTGCATATTCACAGATTACGAAACATATAAAAAAAATAGATATTTGTTCACCATTGTCATTTGTTAGATCTTTAATAAAAGTTAACTCAAAAAAACCTTTTATTGTCTTACAGATGTCTCTAAATAAGTTTAAAGACTATAATAAAGTGTCAAAACTATATATAACTTTAGCCAAATGCAATTTTTTTAAATTTGTTATTTACGCTTTAATCAACATTTGTCTACCATAATCATATACTAAAATGTAATACAAATGTATGTTGATGCTTTATACACAATTTTAGCCGTTCACACAAATGCATTTTTTTTAAGTTCAAAACATTTACTAGTAACTGAGTGAATTATTCAAAATATGAATAAGTACTTAATTCTAAAGGGTTATTATTTTTTAAAAATACATTTTAACAATTAGAATACAAAAAGTTGTATTCAAATTATGCCTGAATTTATAAATCAAAACTATTCAGCTAACATATTCAGCTAAAAATAATACAAATAACAGTTAAGAATGAAAAAGTTCTAATTGATGAATATATTTCTTTTTATTTTAGGTTGAAAAGTTCCTAATTGTAGAACCAATTTATAATAATATGTATTTTATTAATTTTAATACCAACCATACAGCAAATTATTATTATAATGAAGTGAATTAAACTATACAAGTTGCTACATGCCTTAGAACTTTAATTTAAACAAAATGATTTCAAGGAATAAGTTATTTTAACTCAAACCTTAAAATTGCTCTCCTGGACAATTTCATATTAAAGATTTAGAACCTTTTCATTCTAGACCCACGAAGTTAAAACGAATTAAGAACGTTATTGCAAAAATTAATTGCCGAAAATCATTAGTTTTTAATTGAAAATGATAGTGAAGTCTATTTTAAAGTTATAGCTAATTGAAATTTTTGGTTATCTCATATAGTCATAATGCTCATATACATATACCTACCCGGCGTATTCACTTGCACGCTGTGCTCGCTCGGACAATTATAATTAAAAACATCCCTCAACTTGTTATGAATTATTTTTGCACCATCAAACACCGAAAATCGTGAACTTCGTAAGGTTATGCGATAACAACTAATGATTTCCGTGAATCAATTTTTTCATCATAAATATTATAACTGGTTGCAAATCACTTTTAATTATTTCATATAGTGATATTATTGGTAGGGTAAGTTAAACAACTTATGTTTGTTGTGAACTTACATACATTTTTCCACCTGTAACATCAAAAGTAAAAAATATTTATACTTGAATTTTCCATACATGGTAAAATTTTCAAACTATTTTGACTCTTTTTGCGTTATTTATAGTCATGAGAAAATTATTTTGTAAATTATTTATCAGTTTAAAAATCATAAAGTTTCTTGCCCCAACCACTTTTTTTTTTATAAATTTGTAGGTAAAAATTTAACTTCCCCTGAACTGGGTCTATGGAGTATGGCCTCCGGCGGGAGAATGCATTAGATATTAGAATGTCTATCACAGATATAATTCATATAAACTATACTGTAAATTATAATTTATATTATATATTTGTGATGTCTATAAACTTGTGGACTAATTAGTTTGGTTAAATTTAGTATACGATAAATAACTGAAATAGAAAACAAGAATACATTGCAGACCACAAAGATTTCTGTAAAAGAACACGTACACGGTGTATCAATAGACCGTGTATGTGTGTTGAGTGTAGAAGTTCTATGGATTTATCATATTAAAAAATATATTTTATATCATCTATGGTAATTGCCAATTGTCGATATTCGTCTGCGACTATTAACAATTCTAATAATTTTAGTGAAAAAAAAAATAATAAGCCATCAATTTATACAGATAGTTCGTTAAGCAGTATATATTATAATGTAAGTTTTAACACGAATTCGCACATTCCGTTATGTTCAGGTAATTTTCATGAAAGATTTCGATAGTTTCAAGTTACAGTTCGGAACGAGATGAAGACGGATGAAGGATAGCTGTTTCTTCGGTGGCTTCTCGTACTGGACGTTTGCATTCTAGCTAGGTTTCACCAGAAGAGTCGATGTTTCAGCGTAAGTTTGTTTTCATATTATTTTGGGATTTACGTTTACATTTTAATAATTAAAAACATAATATAACGTAATGTTGTAGTAGAAGCTGGAAACTGTAGTGCCTATATTCTAATTTTCGATTTTTTTAAATTTTAATGTAACATTTATTATGCTTACACAAAACACTTTTCTACAAAAATTGAATTTTTCACAAAATTTATTATTTTAACGATAAATGACAATTTTAGTTCCCTATTGTGGTGTATGTATTTAATACAAACAAAAAATTATTATTTTAAAATACAATTTCCTATATTACCTATTATTTACTGGATACAAAGAAACTTAAAAATGAACAATATGATCATTGATTACGTACAGAGTACCTATAATATATTATGCATGGAAAACGAAGGTCGAATTTGACTATCTACTTATCGTGTACACATCAAACACAACAAAGAAATAATAAAAAAAAATTAAAAATTAAATAAAAAACGGTGTATAATAATAAACGGTGTATCAATAGACCGTGTATGTGT